TTGTTAGTGCTTCTCGCCGCATTCTAAACGGTTTAACAATAATGTTGTTATCCCAAACATCGGGTTTAAGTACCATTCCTTTTTCAGTACTATTAATTTTTACTTTGAAAGAGCGGTTGTACATGTTTTCTCTATTAAGCTTTATGTCTAAAGGAGTAATACCTATTTCTTTATTCATGTAGTTTGATAGATCTTCTTCGGATATGGAATTACAAACTCCGCCTACAAATATATATGATTCTCGAATAATACGTTTGCCCGCAATCGAGCTTCTGTTGCTAGCGACTTTGTTTCCGAAAACGGGTTCTTTTTTTTGCTTATCCATATGGCTCTTATTAACTTTATTATTTTTTCCTACCACTTTGAATTCTTGATAGTCTGTTACACAGTCTTTTTCTTTTTCTGGTTTCCGGTTATTTTGTTCCGGGTTTTGCATTTTAACCACGGTAGCGTAGGAATCTCTAATTTTATTTTTTCTATCGGTATATAAACTTGAAATCTCTGTGCTGGAGTGTGCAGTAACTTCTTCCAGCGTATTTCTTTGATTTGGGGAATGATATTTTATTGAATTTGAAACAATAGATTTTATATTTTCTTGCGATTTATGAGGTTCACAATTACTTGTGTTGTTAAATTGTGACGCACATTGATTTTTCACGATTTCGTTATTTGTTTTTTGTAGTTCGTCGTATTTTACCTGTAATAAATGCAAATCTGCCATAATTTTTTTATTTTCTAATTGTAATGCTTTTAACCGATCAATAACTTCTTTTAAAATCAATGCCATATTTATATCTGGCGGTTGATACATTTGTTGACTAGCTTGTTTGGAGTTAGAAATCAATTTAATAAAGTCTTTATGAAGTTGATTTTCCGCTAAAGAAATCGACATCAGATAAATATCATCAAGACATGTTAATATCTTATACCGTTTTCTCAGATTTTTTTTAATGGGATCTTCCGCGTCTAGAATAATGTTTAGCAGTGAGAACTGCTCTATGTCAAAACGTTCCAATATTTCTTGAAATAATTCCACTCTTAATTTGAAAACTTCCGCCTCCTTAAATTGAGAAAACCCATAGATGATTACATCCCTTGGATGTGAGCAGATTTCCTCTACATTTATAATATAGTTCTCTAAAATATTGTTACTTGACTGTATTGTTAAAAACAACTCACCAATTTCTCTTGGCGCCATATAGCATAAAGTTTAAATACATCGAGATTAAAAATCTTTTTTTTTTTTTTTTTTTTTTTGCTGAAGTAAATTTCTTAATAAAAAACACGTCCGTTCGCACCAAATTATGCGCAATGTCTGTATTGAATACAGAACTTTTATCCAAAAAATTTAATGCTGAGTAGTAGTGAGTACTAAATAATTTGAGTACAAACAGGAGCCAATTAAAGCCACCAACTACTTACTCGGGGAAAAAAGAAATTACTTACTGTTTCCATGAGTGTTTTAAAAAATAACTCTTTAAAGTCTTCTCTTTTAGCTGCTGAATGTTAAACCACGAATCATTTACAAATAGCTTATCTTTAAATGGAATTAACTAAACTCCTTTCAAGAAGGTTGTATAAGTAGGATGGAGAGCACATGTTCCAATATCAATAGTCGGCTATATATTTTATGACAATAGTGTTTGATTAAGTTTTTATAAATATAGCTTATTAACATCAGGAACATCCATGGAACATTGTTAAACATGAACATAACTGATGATTAAACTAACAATAAATTAAATTATGTAAGTTATGTCTGTTACTATTTTTGCTGTTGTAAATTTATTGCCTTGTTTTTTTTTATGAATTTTTCCAATATGATAAATTGAACTTCTCATTGAAACAGTGTTCACGGCTTTCAATGAGAATGATAAAACTGAAAATTCAAAAATCAGAGATATTTCCAAATATTGCAATACAGGATAACAACGCTTACACAGTATACTTGACAAAAACTACCTAATCACAGTTAAGAAAAACAGACCAGTTGCTTACAAGGGTTGCTTACTTATGCGCCTAGCCCAGGCATACTAAAAGATTCCAAATTTCAGGATATTCAGGACAAATTACAATAAATTAGGACGTTTCACAACAGATTTTAAAAAATCAGGAATTTATGAAATTTTAAGACATGTGAGAGACCTGCATATAAAATAAATAGAATATAATGGCTAAAATGCCTATAAACATTTTTGTTTCGTCGCACAGTGGGACGAAATCCCGATTTTGTGGCCAAAATTACCTACATGAGGATTTTCGAGGTTGCTGATTACGAATCTGAGGTCAGATTTAAAAAATTCAAAATAGCGGCTCCAACATGGCGGCCAAAACTGTTCATACGTTGAAAATATGAAGTGAAATCTCATGTAGTTTGGTTTTCAAGGTGAGTTTTTGGTTGGCTAATGATTCATGAGTTAAATTAGAGCAAAAACATTGTAAAATTATTGCTAAATTTATATTATTAATAAAAAAAACAGACTTTTGTAATTTTAATTTTATTCTTTTTTTAAAATTTATGCATTTGTTATGGAGAAACATGATATAGGTAAAGTGGTAAAAGATTAAATCACATAAATGTAAAAAAAATTCTTTATTTAATCCTAGTAAAAAAAATCATGTATGTCATATTCATCTATGTTCAAATCATTCGATTCGGAATCTGATGTTGAACCACTTGTATCTAAATTGGAATCGTTCCTTGTCTCTTATCTAGTGACTTCAGGTTGTTTTAACAATTGTATGGCTTCTTGATGTAGAGATTTTGCCGGTCTCTGGGGCAATTTCCTCATGCTCGATAGATATGGATATGATGTTAATAAGAGCCTATTAAAAATATCTCATACTCGATTCTCTTGAGCATTTTCTTGAATGATGTAATCTGAAGTTTTTAATGTCCTTTTTGCGTGACTCATGGACACCTTCAGAAAGTTGTCCGATCGGTAAAAGGGCATATTTTACAATTTCTGCTCTATGGATCAACACTTTATGTACAGATGCATTTTTAAAAAAGCGGTGCGCTGTATTTCCATCGTTAGAGCTGCCATATCTTGGCTTTGGTCGATCAACGATAAGCCCCAGTTTTATCCTAAATTGAGTCTGTATTTCTTCCTTCCGTATTTTCACATTCTTTTTCTCTTCCTCTTGACGAGCTTGCCACTTTTCAGTTGTTAGCTTATACGACAAATGCAAACAGCACTCGAAAAAACGAATCCATGCATGCAATGTAAATATGCCAAATCTTAAATTATCTGTAGTAATGTCCATTTTTATAATGTTGATGTCATTAAATTTTTTCAGAGGAAGCTTTGCACAGGAAGCAGCGTTGTGCAGAAGTAGTACCAGTTACTGCATTACAGACTTTACCGTCTATCATCGTAAAGGACATACAATAAGTTACTGAAAAGGATTTCCCATTTTATTCAGTAGCATATGGTGCAAGACCCTCAATCTGCTGTTCAATGTCGGTAACTTCTTTCAATGTTGACTGTACATCTTCATGTACAAACTGCAATCGTATTGGTCTGCAGAATCGCGGAGATGATGGTTAAGGATTTTTCCACACAATAGTTGCTTCACCCGTCTCGTGATTGTTGTGTATTAATTGTAAAGGTACAAGAGAAGTACAAAAAATGCTTTCATCAGATTTTACAATCTCAGTAAATTTTTGTTTATAAACACTTTGACCGCTGCTTCCATCACATCCCCATTTACAGTGAAGTACTAATTTTTGCAGAATTTCCGGATTTAGAGAATCAATGGCATCAGCCTGAAGTTGTATAATTCTAAATGTGGTATAATCAAGTAAAGCCTGTAGTTCAATTTGTGCGCACGACTCACTAACGGTTGTGTATACAACTGTTGGATGACAACGTTTTTTTGCTTTTTCTACTTCAAGGTATGATGGGTATAATTTGCATTTATGTGCTCTAGCAACATTTCTTGATAGTTGATAAGAGTGCTTTGATTCTCCTTTCTCGATCATTAAAGAAAGTACTTCGTCTGGAGTTAAAGGTACTTCATTTTGTGATCGAACAGCAGATATATATTTTGAGGCTCTTGTTGGAGTTGTTAACGTGACATCTTTAACAACTTAAACAGCATGTACTTGAACAGAAGTCCTTAAACATATTTGAGCAGCATATGCCAATTCTTCTGTAGAAAAAGTAGAACGTACCTCTTGAGTCTTTCGCCACTTTGATCTATTACTAGATGAAGCGAGGGATTGCGAAGGTCGCCCACATGTTCCTTTTTTACAATCATTCTTCACAATCTTCTCAGGTGTTGTGCGTTCAGTATTGGATAATTTTGAAAATTGTACGGTACCCTTCAACCATTCTTCATTTTTTTCTGAAAAAATTCTTCCCCAACTCCGACTCCAATTGTTGAAATTTTCAGAGTACGACTCCGACTCCAACTCTTATTTCGAAGAGTTTTTTGCAAATTTTGAAAAATTCTTTGAATTCTTTAAAAAATATGACGCGATAATTAAATTTTTTTTTTGACAAATATATGAAAAACTCTTTGAAGGGTAAATATTTTGTACATGCACGTGTAACACCGAGAAGTTTTACTATTGGACTCGGAGTCGCGATTTTGTTTAGCGACTCCAACTCCGACTCCGCAACAAATGTCGCGACTCCGCAGCCCTGTTTTCAATCATAGAAAAGTAATAACATTTCGCAAATATTTAATAAAAGTGTTCGACCAAATGTTATTAAAAAAAAATCACAATCAAGACAAAAAAAAGTTAACTAATACCTAAATAACACTGTTATTTTTATTTTAAAATTTTAAATCGTAATCGATTTAAATTCTAAACATTCCTACGAAATTGATTTTCTAAATGCACTCAAAACCCTATATAATGCCGCTTGAAAAGACTTGTTGGGTCCTTTTAGATGAGGCGATCATGAATATACCTCTACTTTAAACCAAGAAATTAAATCGAATTTTTTCTTTTAATGCGACCGAGGTTTCCAGAAAATAATTCAAAACAATTATCATTATAAATTTTTTTTTCGTTGAATTGCAGTATTTAAAAAGTACACACAGTAAAACAAGTATATACACAATTTGTTGCATAAAATTAAACAACTAAATTACTAATTAAAACTAAAAACAAACTTCGCTTCTTATACTTTCCAATTTTTAGGAATTATCGGAACAGCAAAAGCACAATTATTTTCTATGCCAAGGTTGTACATACCGCCTTTTCCACCTTCGTAAAGAGAAGTAACTATACGAAACCAGCCATTTTCTCCCCAAGGTTGACCCCATGAGTTCCTGCCAACCCAAAACTCAACACCATTTTCATCTACACCCCAACCATGAACTGAAATAATGTGATTTTCAAACGGATCGGTATACTCTGTGTAAACACCACCAGTGTATTTATCAAAACTAGGAGTAGCCATTATTCCACATGCAATAGGTCCGCGTTTATAAATTTCAGCCATCATATTTTCTCGCCCATTGACCTCCCCTAAATTAATAGAAAATCAAAACCAAATCAATCATATTCTATATTAAAATTTATTTGAATGAAACTTTAAAATGTTAAAAAACATTTAACAAGTCTTCGTATGTTAAAGGTAAAAATGAATGTAAACTATTTTTTGTTAAAGTTTCAAAAATTACAATTAATGACCAAAACAGTTTTAATTTGATATAACCATAAGTTCCAAAGCACATTATATATTTTTATTCTACACACACAAACACAAATATATATATATATATATATATATATATATATATATATATAATATATATATATATATATATATACTTTATTTTATATATATATACTTTATTTTATATATATATATATTTTTTACAAATATATATATATATATATATGTATATATATATATATATATATATATATATATATATATATATATATATATATATATATATATATATATATATATATATATATATATATATATACATACATATATAAACTTTCTATTGGTTATCACAAGCAACTCGGTTAAAATTTTTTCAAAATTTTATTGAATTTAGGGTGAGCACAAAATCCTTAAAGATTTACCGGATCCCTAATATTATTTAAAAAAAGTTTTTCAAAAGATGTTGGTTTTCAAAAAAAGCGATTTTACATAAAAATTTCAAAAATAACAATCACTTATGAAAAGATTATGTAAGATTTTTTTTGGAATTATTATTAAAAAAATACACCTCTTTCATTTTTATTTAAAAAAAGTTCATTTTTATGCAATTAACTCTAAAATAATAATTTTTTAATAAAATGAGTATTATTTTTGAAACTTTTGTATAGTCTTGCTTCTTTCGAGACCCAACATGACATATTTTTCTTTTAATAATATTAGGGACCTGGTGCTCCACCTAAATCCAATGAAGTTTTGAAAAAATTTAACAAAATTGCTTCTGAGAGACAATAGAAAGTTTTAAGAATATGAACAGATATTTTTTAGAATAAAGGAGGCGGATAAGACACCCTAATACATATATGTGTGTGTGTATAGACACACACACACACACACACAGTGCTTTAAAAAATTTTCTTTAATTTCTAAAATTAGTTTTTTTAGAAAGTATAAATTTTTTTATATTAGTCAACTTCAAATCAATATAAATCAAAAACTAATTTGAGTTGTAAAACATCAAAACAGCATCTTACTTATTTTTCAAAAGAAAAATTAGTTAGTACGATGCTGTTTTGATGTTTTACAACTTATTTTAACTTTACGTACTACAAGAAATGTTGCTAAAACACTTAAAAACTAATTTGAATTTCGAACTAATCTTTTTTTTAAATAAAAGATTGGACTGAATAAAACATTAGACTTTTTTTTACAATATTAGTAAAATTGTTGTTCTAGAAAAAATCAGAATTTTAAATGATACATAGAAGGTATAGGATGAATTTTATATGCATAAAAACTTAAATATCACTTTAAATAAATTATTTCTTCAACACCAAATTTAGTTACATATACACGATTAGTAAAAAATAATAATTTTTGTGAATTATTATCATTAGATGAGATAATTGTGAAGTCAGTTAAAAAGTCTTAATAAATCTTATTTAATGACAACTATATATACATTCCGAAAACAAAAAAAAATGGTTGTCTAAATATACATTCTAAAAGCAAAAAAAAAAAGGTTGTCTAAAATTACATTCTGAAAACAAACAAAAAAAGGTTGTCTAAATATACATTCTGAAAGCAAAAAAAATGGTTGTCTAAATATACATTCTGAAAGGAAAAAAAAATGGTTGTCTAAATAGTTAAGTAAATGAAATACTTTTCACAACTTATTTTTTCTTTCTACATAAGTTGTCATTATTAGTATTGTCATGCGGGGTTACTTGAGCTACCCAGGGTTACTTGAACCCAAAAAAATAAAATGTTTATTTATTTGTTTATTTTTTATAGAACTATTTGGTATGAAATTAAATAAGTTAATTATACACTTACTCAAATCAAGTAATATATATATATAAAAAAAAGAGTTGAGTTTATAACCAAAAAAGATAATTTTTTTTTTGACAATATTTCTTAAAAGAAGTATCAGTTGCTAGAAAATATAGCAATTATAATTCTATTTTATTCTCATTATTTTGATAAAAAATTTGTATTTATGTTTGAAGTTCAAAATTGGGGCTATTTGAACCCAAATGTCATTGTAGCAGTTCATGTTTGAAAATGATTAAATTTGTTTCCATTAATGTTAAAGCTTAAAGTGTAATAATATATTTATAAGGAATTGATATATTTGTTATTTTAACCATGTTTTTAATATTTTTTAGGTTATAAAATGTATACCTAAATAATGTTAATGGCTGGTTAAAGCTATTGTTATATACCTTTTTGCATATACTTCGTGCTATCATAACTGGTTCTACCAGAATGGTTCGCAGATATAAAAGAAAATTGGGATCTAGAGTTTACAAAGACTATACCGATCAAAACTTAGAGCAAGCCTGTATTAATATTGAACGTGGAGCTATGAGTCAATGATTTGCTGAAGAGCATTTAAGAATCAGCCGTTCCAGCATTAAGAGAGCTCTTAGAAGACAACGTCTTACAATAACAAAGAAACATGCAGGGCATCCAGCTGTCTTCACGCCTGAAGAACAGTCATTTTGTGATCACTTGAATAAAGTGTCAATTTTTAGCTACCCATTGACCTCATTTGATCTTCGAATTATTGTGAAATCCTATCTAGATCGATTAGGGAGTGGTGTACAATGTTTCAGTGAAAATCTTCCAGGTGTTGAATGGGTAAAAGCCTTTATTAGAAGACATCATCAGCTATCCAAGAGATTTGCCAGAAACCTCATAAGGGTCAGGGCTGCAATAATGCAACAAACAGTCACAGAATACTTTGATAATCTAGATAATAAAACAGAAAGTGTACCAGCAGAAAACATTTGGAATGTTGACGAGACTAATTTAACAGATGTCCCTGGGAGAAAAAAATGCATCCTGAAAAAAGGAGTTAAATACCCTGAAAGATTTATCAATAGTTCCAAATCAGCAATTTTTCTTATGTACTGTGGTAATGCAGCTGGAGAATTGCTGGCTCCTTATGTGGTCTACAAGGCCAAGTCACTTTGGACCACATGGACTGAAGGTGGTACAAGGTATAATCGCTCTAAAAGTGGGTGATTCAAGAATAACTCATTTGAAGATTGGTTTGTTACTTTGCTACTACCAAGGCTAAAAAGGCAATCTGGGCATAAAGTTGTCGTTGTCAAGTGATAATCTCAGTAGTCACATTAATGTCAATATTTTAAAACTTTGTGAAGACAACGATGTTCGCTTTATTGGGTTACCACCAAATTCAACACATCTTACACAACCACTGGATGTGGCCTTTTTCAGGCCAATGAAGATTGCATGGAGAAAAATATTATCAGAATGGAAAGCAGGTCCTGGAAAAGGTGCAACCACGCTTAATAAAGACACTCTCCCTTCTCTATAAAGTCGCCTTCATGAATCAATTCAAACAAATTGTGCAGAAAATATAATGTCTGGTTTCAAAAAGACAGGGATATATCCCCGCAATCGACAAGAAGTGCTAAAAACTTTTCCACAAATGATTGTTTCCCCAAGGAAATGGAATGAGAATGTCAATCAATCATTTCTTGACTTTTTGAGAAGATTAAGAAGTGCTGATATTCCAACTACAAAGCGTGTGAGAAGAAAGTTGAATGTTCCAGCAGGAAAAAGTATAGGGTCAGAAGATGTCATTAAAACAGATTTGCTAAGAACAACAACCAGTGCTACTCGAAGAGGTAGAAATAAAAGAGCTCAAAATTTAACTACACACCAAAACAATGACAGTTCAGAACATACCAACTTAGTTGCAGACAATGGTATTAAAAGTAGCAGAAAAAGCAGTAGCAATAAGAATTTATCTGCAAATGACAATATAAGCGAAAGTTTAGATCTGGACAACACTGAAAAGGTAAAACATAATCTTGATGAGTATGTGCTAGTGGATTATGATAAAAATTTATATCCTGGTCGTATTGTAAGTGTAGTACGGAAGAACTTTTCGGTGTCATAGTTTCTACGATGGAGCAATAAAAAAATCACTGGAAGTTGCCAAAAAAATCAGACATATTTCTACAATATTGATGAAGTAAAATTGAATATCAATGTCCCGGTACCATTTAACAACAGAGGGTTTTTTAAAATTGCAGAGCTTGACAATGAATGTAACAGTACTCCTAATACTAAGTATACTACAACAACAGTATACCAGATCTTATTATACTTTAACATTATTTGTATTATTAATTCATTTAAGTTGTTTTGTTAACAGCAGATGTCTTTTTAAAAGTGAAGAGTTGGACAATTATTGTACTAGTATTGCTATTACTAAGTATGCTCGATAACAGTATACCAGATCTTATTGTACTTTAACATTATTTGCAGTATTAATTTGTTTAAATTGTTTTATTTGTATAGTATTTTTGTGACATTAAAAAAAAAACTGAAAAAACATACTTTTTAAACTATGGGTTCAAGTAACCCCACAACAGGGGCTACTTGAACCCAACCTTATCTCCCCAAAAAAAGGGGACTGAAGTCCGCTTAAATATTTTTTCTCTACAATCATCATTACTAATTCATAAGTCCATGAATTAGCAACAATAAGTTTTTTTTTAAAATTGACATAAATATGATAGAGAACCACAAACATATCAAAATTGGGTCAAGTATGACATGAGGGTATGTTAAAGTAATCTTTAACAAACTAATAAAATGAAATGAACCTTCTACTCATTTGCAAACCTTATTCTACTCATTTACAAAAAAAAGGTTTCAAATCTACCTTTATCAAAGTCTTTATGAAACAAATTGAAATAAAGATAGATATTTTTATTGAGAGGGAGCTTTACATGAACTTTAATACTGCATGATATGTATGAGTATAATATAATAATAATAATAATAATAATAATAATAATAATAATAATAA